TGAGCTTCCATCGTTGAGGAAGATACTCTGCTTAACGTCGTGGAGAATAAACAGAAAATTTCGATGCAAGAAATTGCTAGGAGTTTAAAATCTTTGTCTTACCTTCCTTTCCAACATTTGAAGAAACTTGAATTCAATTTCAAATTCGGCAAGTAGATGCCATATTATCTGAGGGAACAGAACGATATCTATCGTGTTTCTGCGACGAATTCATTGCTGCTATGCCAGGACAAAAAGACAAACCTGAACAGTATTGTCACATCCTATGAAGAATTGATCATTTATGATACCGTTCAACGCAAACTGAACTGGAAACAAGTTTGTGAACGTGCAGAACACATGATTGAAGCAAGATTCTATCCAATGGAAAGTTGTTGTCTGTTTGGTGAAATTGCAAGAGAATAATTCACTTTAAGGTTCTTCTTCAAACAATAACGGCAAAGAATGAAAAACTCGCCATTCTCAATGCGGCTATTCACGAAAAGCGGCCGATTTTGGCAAATCAAAAAGGTGTCATTTTTCTCCTCGACAACGCAAGACCGCCTTGTTGAAAAAAAACAGGCGTTACTGAAGCTTAAAGATTTCAAATGAGAAAACTATCCAGCAGACACCACATTCTCCTGACTTGGCCCTTTCGGATTTTCATTTATTTAAGTGTCTACAGAAAAATTTAAATTACAAAAAAACATTGACTCTGTACAGTCAGTGGAAAACTTCATAACAAACTTCTTTAAGCCAAAACACAAAGTTTCTCCGAAAACAACATCCACAAATTTATACAATGATAGGTTGGATGGTTGTTTTGTTTTATGGCATATTAACCTCACTGGGTCATTTAATGCCAACAAAATTTTTGAAATAGATTCATAGCGATATGTGTTTATATTTCTGAAATGAGGTATTATGTACACTATTTACATTATTCGGACTATTGTCCTCATCTTTGTCGCCATATTTATTATCACGTTTCGGCCTTTCAGTAGCTGTCTATATTTCTGAGGTGAGGTATTATGTACACTATTTACATTATTCGGACTATTGTCCTCATCTTTGTCGCCATATTTATTATCAAGTTTCGGCCTTTCAGTAGCTGTCTATATTTCTGAGATGAGGTATTATGTACACTATTTACATTATTCGGAATATTGTCCTCATCTTTCTCGCCATATTTATTACAGTAGATAAAGGACTTGGTTAGATCCGGTGACAGGGCCGAAACAGTGTGAGTTCAATACCTGATTAAGGCAGTGGAGAAATTGGAAAGAGAGAGGAAATAACAGGAGATAACTGATAACTGGCATCCATTAAACATGGCACGTTGAACTAGATCAGTCTACCCCAGTGAGCGAAATAAAGGATTCAGTTCGACATTCCAACCACCCGAAGAAAGCCGTAGCGTACAACGACCGAAACGTTGTAATAAATATGGCGACAAAGATGAGGACAATAGTCCGAATAATGGTATAAATAGTATTCATAGCGATAGTTTGTTAAAAAAAGGTGTGTATGTATACATATATATTTGAACCATTTTTCAATTAATCATATTTTTTATTACAATCCAACTTCTTTTAGGAAATTTACAATCTTGGATGATTTTATTTTCGCAAAAAAATTTTTTTAAGACTCACTTAGTAATATTTTGTTTGCACTAGAGCAAAATCAACACATTCTAACAGTATATGTTTCACTGTAAATTTTAATTAATGCTGATAATAATTGTTCCTTCAAAAATTATTGCTGGTAGTAATTTTTATTACAAAGTAATTCTGGTACTTTTACACAAGCTTGAGTGTTGACTATTTGCCCATAACTACCACTCCGGGTCAGGGTAGACCTGGGGACACCAGCAATTAAGATGTGGTTCCAAGCTCGTCAAAACCTCTTGATGAAAGGCCTTGCTGTTGGAAGTAGTTTATCGTCTTACCCAGGACGCCGATGTAGTTTATCGTCATATGCAGGACAGACAATGATAGGAGACAGTTGTTAAAATAATGGAGATTATGTACTTGACTAATAATCATTTTTTGTGAGTATTTAAAATATTTTTATTTATTTTATAATCGTGTAGGAACTTTTCGATGATCTAATATATTTTACTAAACATTAAACGCAAAACAATCCAAGGTAGAGGACTACTGAATGCATTGACAGGATAGGAGTAAATAAGTGGCGAACATGAATATATGTAGGATAGACAAAGGTTTAAGATTGTAATTATCGAGCAAGCAACTTTTTGTGAGTTTGTTCCGCAAAGTAAATATTTTAACGAGAAATCTTTTTGATTTACATTATTTACATTATTCGGACAGTTATCCTTATCTTCATTGAAATATGCACAACGTTTCGGCCGTTGTATACTCCGGCCTTCTTCGGGTGGTTGGAATTTCGAACTGAACCCTTTATTTCGTCCACCGGGGTAGCTTGCTCTTGTTCCACATACCGTGCCTTGTACGGATGTCTCAGTTATTTCACTTTAACTCAACTCTCCAAAGTTTATCCACTCGGCTTCGTGTCCTCAAGGACACATAGCCCAGTGGATAAAGACGTTAGTTAGAGCGAGTAACTGAACCCAAAATTTAAGAGTTTAGTACCAGGTCAAAGCAGTGGTGAAGCTAATTTGGAGAGTTGAGTTAAAGGGAAATACATGAGACATCCGGAAGAGGCATGACACATGGAACTAGAACAATCTACCCCGGTAAACGATATAAAAGGTTCGGCTCGAAATTCTAATCATCTGAAAAAGGCCGGGGCGTACAACGGCAGAAACGTTGTGAATATGGCAATGAAGATGAAGTTAACAATTTGAATAATGTAAATAATGTAAGTAATCATATTACCTCATCTCAGAGATATAGACATAAAGCTGTTTGAATTGAACTTTCATCTTACCCATCTAATAAGAAAAAATAAGAATTATTTGGTTCTGTGTAAGCGGCATGGTAGGTCGTAGCTGTTAATGCTTGAGCTGGTGGAACTAAGGAATGTAACTCTTTTGAACATATTCCTTGGAAAAAACGATAGATTAACCACAATCTTTTAACATTTCGCCTGTAGGGAAGGGATTGTACATTGGAATATAAAGACACGGAGACAATTGTTAAAACTAATGCAACTAAGCTTTTGCAATGATTTAATAAACATGTCCTCCCTGTTCTCAGCTATTACATATTAACACGGTCATTCGGTACTTAATAAAATTTATCAAATGTTTATCCACCGAAATCATTTCTTTAACTAGGAGAATTGCCATTTATGTAGTATCGCCGAATCTAGAGTAGTGTTATAAAAAGACTAATATATTTTGTAAATTCGAACGATTTCAACAAGAATAGCGATGTATCTGTCATAAAATGCTGAAAAGATCCCAGACATGTCTACTTCCTAAATCTTAACAAACATCAATGTTCTTTTTAGAAACGCTTCACCCACCTCTTGTATTCATTCTCAGTCTGTTGCTGGATAAAGTCCTTTGTACAGTTCAACCTCTGATATCCGCTACAAGCAACCTTCACGATCTCTGGTGTTCATTTTCTGTCTTGTCCATTCTACTGCGTTCTATGTATCAGTCCTGCAGCCTTTTGCTCCACCCGTGATTTTTCCTTCTTTTTTGTAAAATGTCTTCTAATATTTTCTTTGCATACTCACTTCTCTGATATCTATTCTATTTCGTCTATCTCAAATCAATGTTGATACCTTTATTCATCTAAAATTATTATTCTTTTCAATATGATTTTAATGTTGTTACCAGGACGTTTAGATAGTTTCCATGTGTAGGAAATGTATGTCATAGCGAAAATTATACATACATTGTACACTTGATGTTAATCACATATTCTAATTTTCTTTTTATTAATTCTCTATTTTTAAATTTGATCACCTACACTAAGAAGACATGTTTCTGGAGCTCTTCCAGTTCTTCGCCCGAATGCAAGGATGGTCCTATACTAAGGATAAAAAATGTCTTTTATGTACATATCAGTTTAAAAGCCACACTTCGTGCGAACTTTTAGGTTAACTACTGCGGAGGGCTAGTTGGGCCTCGCGCTCAAAACTAAAGTGACCTCTAGTTTAGCTTAGAAAAAAAGCAATGATCATTTTGAAGAAATAACTCTGAATTCTTCAATTCACTCCATGGAACTTCATAAACCTCACTTTAACTCTGATTCGTGCTATAAGTTCAATTCCGGCCGAAAGGACGATTTGGGCCGAAATTCTAATTCAGGGCGAAAATCGAGTTCTTCAAATCACAAATTACGTGGAACTTCAATTGTGTTGAGTTCTTCAAATCACAATCACTGCGGAAATTCAAAACCTCACGTCACGAAAGCTTTCACTCTAACTCTGAAATCTTGGTATTTTGAAGGAATAAAATTGGTTTGCTCAATTCAAAAACTATTTTAAACTAAATGTAAAACAATATTTTTTTAAACTTCAGAAAGTTTTGTATTAGGCCAAATTCGATATAAATGAAAAACTTTTAAAATCACTATTTTTTTCAGTTATTTTAAAATTTCAATTTTAGACTTTCTGACTATTCCTTCTTCTTCCGAACACAAACAGTGTGTTCAAGCAGCAGATGAAGGGCTGAGTTTCCGTCTTAGGATCGTCCTGATTCCAAAAAGGTATATGCCTATGTTGAACAAGTGTAACCCGAGATAAAGGGGATTCATACAAACGAACAGCCTGAAAGAATTTTCTATTTATTCTATAATTAAAATAGATAAATAAAAATTAATTATTAGATTAAGAGGCATATTTTATAATTTGTTCTTTTCATAATGACTTAAACACACCCTTATATGTCATTATCCTTACAAGAATCATATTCAAAAAAAAATCGAATAATGCTGCCATATCTGGGTTAGAGGTACTCAATTGTTACATTGCAGCTTTGATAAAGTTTAAAATATATACACGCTTTTGTGAAATAAGGTTTACTTTCCCTTTCTGCACTCTCTTTTCTACAGAAACAATATCGCAGCTTACAGCCACATTATGTTAAAACAACCGTTCCCGTATGATCGTAGACGTTAAGCAAAGTCGAACCTGGTCAGTATCTAGATGGGTGACCACTTGGGAAACCAGATATTGCAAGCTTGGGTACATGAGTGGCATATTGGATAATGACTCAGAATTATTAATCTGAGGACCTGGAACCTGAAAACGTGGGGCTCCTTTGCAAAATCATACCACGGGTTGACCTAAGACTTGTCTTTCTAATTTGCTAGCACGAAGTCTCAAGTCATTGTGACTGAGAGCTTAAACATGCTGGCCATTTTCAAACTGTTGATCACACTAGACAATGCTCAGTATAGTTGCAGTATAGACCACAGGTGAGTTCAGTGGGTATTGAACATATACACATTTGCCTGATTAGGCATCTGCAACATGAATTAGCTTGCCTCTTTGGTAGATGGACATTCTCCGATACCTGTAGACAGCCACTCATATATACAAATAAATAATCTATATCTATAAATCAGAAGATATCTGTATGTGTGCCCGTCACTGTGTGTGTGTGTCTGCCTGTGTATGCTATTTATGCACGTCAACCTTCTCGACAGATTTCGATAAAATTGTATACACATGTTGCAAATTTACCAAGATAGGTCAAGACCAAGTTTTTAATCGTACTCGCCCCGGGTTAGGCAGAAGAATCGTTAAAACTGAATGTGGGTCTGACTTTTTGCAAAAAGCAAGGCAAAGTTACACGCGAACAAATTTTTTACTGGATGAGTTGATGTTCTTTGCACTTCATGCAAAACAGCTCATTTTACGAGATTTATGTAGAGTGCATGTTAGTTTTCTTGTGATATTGGCTTCACACAAAATATTGCAAAAAACTGAAAAAATTATGTTTTTCGTACTACTTAAAATAAAAACTTGAATACCTTCCTCATATTTTATCCAATTTTCTTCAAACATGTCGCAAAACAATTTCTATCATTCAAGAAATAAGATAGCGTAGTTTTCATCCCACTCGCTCCCACGCGTATAACGAAAAAAAACCCCACAAAAACAGTTAAAAAAGCCAGCTTTTCAGCGATAACTCACTTGTTTTTCACCCGATGCTTAACAGATTTGCCATGTAAATTACAAATGATACACAAATTGTCTAGCGTGAATGTTTGGTTTAGATTATTTCAGTTAAGTGGACGAAATCTACGACAAAATAGGTCCCAAATCAGCTTTTACCATTTAGCCAATAGTTTCTTCATAGGGTTCCATCGTAAATTGGCATTCGAACAACCTTTGATGCAAAGATTGTTTGAGAAGTATTACTGAAGCATTAAAAGGGATAAAAAAATTCTCGATGGACATCGTATTAACCCCAGCTTTATTAGCCCCAGTGCACTTGCAGTTGAATCAAGTTCTGACGCTTTATCCCTGTTTTTGTTTGATTATTAGATTTCTGAACAATGCCAAACTATTTGAAAGTTATTACAGCCATAAGAAATTTACTGAATATCTAAAGCACTGAAAAAATTTAATCCCGAGCAACGCCCACACAAGAAGGTTTTATCGATGGAATTCTTTTATTAAGAACAATCAAACTCTTGCGAAGGACCTACCGTAAAAAGATGAAGGGTAGTAACTTAGTATACCAACGGATGATGTATGCAAGCCGGAACGCAGGCAGACATTTCTAGACAGGGGGTGTAGGTATACAGAGGGTGCGGTTATACAATTACAGCCATATACACCCGGGCAACACAGTGTACCTCGACTAGTTATTTTATATAATTATACGAACGAATTTTTTTTTTATATTTAAGATTATTGTGAATTGTTATGCGAGGGAAAAAAACAATTTTTTTCTTTACCAATGCAGGACAATTTTACGTTGCTACCAATATACAACTAAAGTGGTGTTCCTTCCACTGTTGCTCGAAATGAATGACGTTTTTCCTATTTTACCAGGCACAAAGCATAGACTTTTATGGATGGCGTCATAGTGTTGATGTTGGCACTCATTTCTCATTTTATGACAGCTACTTTTTCTTTATCAGTTCACAATGCGAAAAAGGTTTTTCATCACGTTTGTTACAATGCGATTCAAAAATGAAAGATAAATGTTTCAACTTATCCCTTTGCAAGTTTTCGGAATTAGACTCTCAAATTTACAACGAAGAACGCACTCTGTGGATAGAGGCCATGATAAATTCTCGACTCAGTTTTCAATCATGATTCTTCATAGGTTAATTGACTCATGATCCATAGGAGTGAAATACGCTATTAAATTACGAATACCTTAATAATTGTAAATATTTGAAGAGATTTGGATAGTATTGGCCCACGGCCATACATGCACAGCATAAACGCGTATAAAACTAACCAGGCATATGGAAATTTACTAAGCGTAGCTTAGATGTGCTAGAAGGCCTCAGTATGGCGCATCTAATGAGGATTAAACTCACTATTAAGTTTTAATTGACCTAACGACACAAGCTTACCAGCCATAACACCTTGTCAAAGTGCCGAAAGTTTTACTAAGCGCAACTAAGGCCGAAAATATGGAGCACCTAGTGACGATGGAAAGTCACGAAAATGACCTCACGAGACCATCTTAGCAAACCATTACACCATGTCGATGTACACAAATCTTTACAAGGCGTAGCTTAGATGTGACACAAGGCCGAAAATTTGGGGCACCCAGTGAGGATCTAACTCACTACAGAGTCGTAATTGTTCTAGCGCGACAATCTTGCTTACTATTTGTTACGGTCCAGGTTAGAACCAAGGAAGAACAACATGAACAAGAGTAGAAATAACGAATGTATATTACACGAAATAATAATAAAAGATGTGGAAAGTGTTAGTATGACTGTCAGTCTGGTTTGGAGTGAACTACTATCGGCTCGACTCGATTCGACCCTCTCTCTTGAGAGGCGTAGTATACATGGTGTTAGAAAGAGTTAATTCTGTAGTTATAGATAAGGACCCATGACACTATTACACCACGGTGAGATGTCCTGATTTTCTACGCGTAGCATAAATATGGCACAAGGCCGACATTTTTGGGCACACAGTGAGTATAGGTCTCACTACTCTGTCGTAATTATTCTAGCGAGACCAGCTTGCTAACCTTTAAACCACGTCGCGATGCCCAAATAATTTTTGGACTGTAGCTTAGTTGTGGCAAAAGGCCGAAAGTTTGGGGTACCAAGTGAGGATCAAAAACAGTACTCAGTTGTAATTGTTCTGTCGAGTAATTGTTCTGTAACCATTACACCACGTCCAAGTGTCCCTACATGTGTGACTCATACATAGAGTAATACACAGATATAATTATACGACGGACATTTATTCTTCTCCTCGGCAGATTGTTATGATGGACTTTGTAAAATAGTGTATGAATCAAAAGAGATAATGTCTGGAAGAAAGTTAAAATAACATAGAAATGATATGAAAGCTTGATGAAAATTTATTACATTATGAGTTTGTGTTGACTCGGTAGCTGACCCTGACACTAACTGTTTCCTCTGATGAAATATAGAAAAAGGGTGAGGCATTCGTATTTTTAGAAAACCAAGCCTTTTTTTTTCTCGTGGCTTCTTAGTTCGTTTAGAAAGCAATACTTTTCTTTACATCATTTTTATTCCCATTGCTGACATTTGTCAAAACTAATTAACCCCAGTAGGCAACAATAGATAAATTACTTTTGTAAAAGAAAAAAAATGATAAAGAAATGCCTCCGGGTAGGGAGATATGTTGTATGATAGATAGATAGATAGATAAATAGAAGAAAGAAAGAAAGAAAGAAAGAAAGAAAGAAGTAGATAGATGGATTGAGATATATATGAATATAGAGAAAGATTTCGATAGAGGCAGATACAAAGAAAGCGAGGAAAATAAACAGACAGAATGAATAAAGCTATAAACAGACTGAAGTGAGTAATTCAGATTAAACAAAGATGAAAAGATTGTTATATACTAGTAGATAAGAAGATCCTGCGATAAATAGATAGATACAGACAGAGCTAGATAAATATACAGAGAGACAGACGGATGAATGGCTAGTTAGTTAGCTAGGCAGGTATACAGTTAAATAACTATACGAAATAGAACATCTGATACATAGATATATAGATAGATATCAAAAGACTGGAATAACTACCTAGATAGATAGGTTCATATATATATATATATATATATATATATATATATATCAAGTATTTGATGCAGTTCAATTTACATTACATAAATCAGTCATACAAAAAACATATATAGAAGTTAATGATTTAAATGGCGAGAATACATCTTCGTAAACAAATTTAATAAAGTGCATTAATCCCGAACCTCTAATTGAATGTTATGATCCCTGTTTATAAATTCCATTTGTATAAGGTCTTTTTTTTAGTTTTTTACAAGCTTTCATCTGTTCATACAGACATCATCACGCTCCAAAAAATTTCTTACAATTAACAATAACACATTTCTAAACCATTTTTCGGATTACATCTATATTTTCGTTGTCCTGTTATTACCGAGAATTAAAAAACAAAAACAAATCTATTTCCACACCTTAAGATGTCTGTATGAACAGATGAAAGCTTGTAAAAAACTAAAGAAAAGACCTTATGTAACTGGAATTTATAAACAGGGATCATAACATTCATTTACAGGCTCGGGGTTAATGTACTTTATTAAATTTGTTTGCGAAGATGTATTCTCGCCATTTAAATCATTAGTTTCTATATCTGTTTTTTGTATGAATGATTCATGTAATTATATATATATATATATATATATATATTTATTAAAGACATTTTTATGTTTAACGTTCTTTTTTATAGATACAAGTATTTAAGTAAATGCTCTGTTTATAATAAACAGTGTTAAATAACTGAATGTCCGAGAAATTTTCATAGAAAATATTCGTCCTTTGACAGGATTCGAACCTGCATCCTATACGCGACCGTCATTTACGCTGACGTGCCTTACCGATCGGCCACAAAGGAGCGTTCGGTAGGCAAGGTCGAATTTACTGCTTATAAACTTATATATATATATATATATATATATATATATATATATATATATATATATATATATATATATATATATATATAGTCTACAGTCGCCATCTCACAG